ACAATACATTTTAACACTAAAACTACCATATGGGTCAAAATGATTCATTCCTGATTCCTTCTTTTTGCAATTGTTAAAAAGATAGCAGATGTTTCCCTGAAAAATTATTAAAGAAATTGATTTAGCAATACGCAAACTGAAATGTAAATCAATAAAAGCCTCCATACATGTACTCTTGGAGGAATGAAGTTTCCATAGAGGAATTTCAAAAAATCTATTTAACTTCTTGGTAATTTCAGTATTTATATAAACAATTATAATAGTACACCACGTAAGTGAAACAATTAATTTTCAAAATAATTTTAAACATTTAACACTTTAGTTCTGCTGGTCATTGTAAAATGAAAAACGTAACATAACCTTAAAATACTTATATATGTAAAATGGTTAGAAAAAAAACAAAGAGTACCACGAGTCCAGTTCAACTACAATCTACCTATAACAAATTACTCCAATCCGTCATCGCAATCAGTTTCTACGCTCATTCCTACTGGTACAGCGAATCCCGTCGACGCGATAGTGACGATGAAAATATTATTGGCAATTTGGTCGCAACCCGGTAGAAAAAGTAGCCGCAAATGATGTCCATTATTCAGTGTCCACCTAGGGTCGTTCAGTGGCCGTGCCGGCGGGAGGCTGCAATTGTTGACAGAGTGTATCCTTTGCGAGCGAGCCGGGATTAAGTGTCTTGTCATTATCCAGAAGGATACAGCTTTATTGCGAATGCATCGGAGCAGTTTGAAGGGGTCACAGCGGTTTACTGCTGGGGTTATCGCGCAACTGGATCAACACGTAGCTGGAACCATTGTGATTATTACGATCCCGCGGCTATTATTTATGAGCAATACCCCCAGATACACAAAGATACCGAATCAATCGGCTCTCATTTCATAAGTGTACTTCTGTAGGCGCGTCTTTTATTTTTCCGCGGAACCTATACTTCATACATGATCAATAAAACCACCGTCGGATAAGCTGATAATTGCGACCAGCGTTGAAGGCTTTATTGCCGCGGTTATTGTTACTTAATTCCGTAACGAGAAAAAAATTCTCGCTTTTGCAGCGGATCGGCGATCTATCAATGCATTGGAACGCTGTGAAAAAATTCTGTTCCATCGGATTCCTTTGAATACAACTGTTCATATCAGTTGATTTTGTAGCAGGATAAAGATTTTCACTTTCGCGTCAGGTCGGTTATTTATCGATACCCGTGGGATATTGTAAGGGGATTCGATCGAAGTTCGTTGATTATGATTGTCTGTAGGAATGTAACGTGATAAATATGAAATGGTAATTCTCGTGAAGATATGTTTCCAGTAATGGCAGTATTTATTGGCGCAGTGATTCGTAATCGATCTATGTAAAGCTTTCGATTGAACGGTACGGAATATCGACAAAATCGTACCTTATCTTGCTCAAAAGTAATTTATGCGCAATGGGAATATTTCACGTCAGAGAAATTGAATATTTATATAACGCTCGGCCTCTGATTCTTGACCTTTAATTAGTGGTTTTACTAAAGAGTTCGGTGTATCTCGTTCGTGTGTGCACACGACGGGTGTTGGTGTAAAACTAAAGAGAAATATCAAATCGATCGCAGCTAATTAATGGTTACGGCGGATTTTTATGATCTGAACTATGGAAAACCGATTAATCATGCTATACACATCTAAAACGTAACTGGTAACTGGTTGATATTTATAGACATTTTCCCGGTTGATACCGTGTAACAGCAATCTACTTTCTCAAAAACTGATAAGGACGTATATTTTCAAAGATTCCATTTTACTGTGCTTCAAAAATCTCGAACAATTAGTGCATTGTATCCAGTATCTTGTACCAGTGTCACCAACAAAAATCTCGAAGATTCTTTCATTGTTGGCAAAACTCTAAAACAAACTTCACTTATTAAACATCTATCACATCTACACTTTAAAAAAGGAAACTCCGAATTGCTGGCCAACCCAATATGTTCCAACTTCTAAATATTAGTAATAAATCACTTATAATTACACCTAAACATTCCGTCGAGCGAAATAGCCAATACTCGTCATATCGTTGCCGTTTCAACGAACAAAGTAAAATAAAACACTAACGTATTTCGGATTCCGCTTGAAAATGGCCTACAGTAAATCGGTTCTTTAATATCGTCGCTGTCAAGTCCACAGAAAACGGCTCTGGGTAGACGCTGGCTCTTTGCGAATCGCCGGTACGCGTTCCGAACCGAGGCGCCATGATTGAATGCGTCTGATGGGACAGGGATTTGTCAAAGGCGGCTTAAGAGCCGGCTGTGGATGATCATAGATAGACACAAAAATTCGTAGTCCGTCACGACGGGCACGACGGCGACGTCGACGATGGCAGTGGCGGCGGCGGCAGCGGCGGCGGTGGCGGCGGCGGTCGACGCGACAAGCGTCCTTGCTCCAACCACTCGCGCTACTACCGATGACGTAATCGTCGCGATACCCCGCAATCTTGGCGCCTCGGTAAACTCGTAATATCTATTTTTATCTGGTGGAAGCAGGGGTTCCGCCCCGGCCCGCCCCGTCCCTTCTCGCACACAGTTGTGCCGCGGAGTCGTACACTTCGACACACTCGTCTCTTCTTCTTCTTCTCCTACTTCTTCTTCTCCTCCTACTTCTTCTTCTCCTACTTCTTCTTCTTCTTCATCTTGTTCTTCTTGTTCTTCTTCTTCTCCTTCTTCTTCTTCTTCTTTTTCTCCTTCTTCTTCTTCTTCTTCTTCTTCTTCTTCTTCTTCTCCTTCTTCTTCTTCTTCTTCTTCTTCTTCTTCTTCTTCTTCTTCTTCTTCTTCTTCTTCTTCTTCTTCTTCTTCTTCTTCTTCTTCTTCTCCTTCTTCTTCTTCTTCTACTAGTTCTTCTTCTTCTTAGTCGTCTTTTTCTTTTTTTCCTTTTCATCTCCTTCTTCTTCTTCCTGATTCTTATCCTCTAAATTCAACCTGAAACACGAAATGACCATTCTCGAACTGGACACAGGCTTTCGCGCATTCTCCCCATTCTTCTCGATGTTCCTAGGTGTCTGAATACTGATCCCTTGGTTTCTGAATCTTTTCTAGAAACGATTATTACGGTAGAGTTTTTTGCATCTGGTTTGATCCTTCATCTTTAATGTATCGTTTTTGTTATTGATAGTATTAGTCATGATTGTTTTAGATATTTATGAATTTTATAAGTATCTCAAGTATTAGATTGTAAAAGTAGAATGATAAATAGAAATATCTGGAAAGTGAAACTTTTAAACATTAAGGTACTCAAATGTGAGGGACTGTTATTAGTATATGTTCATATAATAGGGTAAACTGTTTACAGGACTATGTTAACGATATCGTCGAAATGATCAACTTTATACCGCAGTTGGGTCTCCTTTTAATCATGAGCAGCTTGATAATTTACCGGTTAATGGATCATAAAAACATAATGAAAAGCAAATAATAGGATATGTTGTTTGGCGCTATTTTGAAGTCTCAACATCCGCTCAAGGAACCTATCGCTAGTATTTTGTCTGACTCGCTCCCGATGCGTCTAATTTTCTAGCTTTGTCCAATGGTAGGCGCATGACTATGTCTGAGCCAGCAATAAAAAGAGGTCATTACCTGCTCAGAAACGATCCACTGCTAAATTGATCCTTTATAAGACTTGCATCAAAATGTGGTGGGTAATATGGCTTCAATATTGCTGAAAATAAATATCCGTAGACATTATGTCTTGTGGTTCAATTTTAGTTGATTGAATTCTTTGAAGCATTAATCATCTACAGTTAAAAAGAATTCAAGCACGATTAAAGTAACAAAGTTTACAAGTATGCAAGTAATTAGATAGTTGATGAAGTGAATGAAATATGCAGATACTTCATTCTTGCTAGTAGTCCCGAAGAGAAAGGATTATCGGTAACGTCGAGCGTGACACTGAAATGGTTGAGATCTTTTAGCTACAGGAATTCCCCAAGTTAAAGTCAAAAAATCCCATTGAGTGGATAATCTTTAATCTTTACTGTATTTTAAGTAGGTGTACTCATCTCTACTATTAGAATGTATGCATTGGTAATCAAGAAGATTACCTACTGCTGGAATGTTGATAGCTTCGTGAATCTGTTGAAAGATGGCGCGTATATGTTGCAACAGGTGTCGGATTTAGATAAATTCGAATAGCACTTTTTATGACAATACCATAATTACAGTAAACAGTTTATTACAGATATTACCGATCGCCCCAATCATCTTCCTATATGTTTAAAAACATTTTAAAGCTATATAGACATTTTTTTTTAAATACTTAATGAGAATACAGTAATCAAAATTACCTTGGATAAAAACTACCGTATTGTTACCACTTTCTTCGCCTGAAATGTTAAATATTCTGATGAGTTCAATCGTGTACAAATATGTTTATAAATGTTAGAAATGTATATTAGCATAGATGAGCCATTAGATTCCTTTCGTTGCATAGTTTACGACTAATTTTTCCATCTCCCCATTTACTCTCTTGTCTACTCTCGAATCTGGCGCCGTCGTTGTCTCCAGGACAGTTGGCGAGACGCGTGGGACTTCCCGGCGACAAGTCCTTTATGATACCGCTTGTACGCCCGCAGCCTCTCACCGAACACTTTCGACAGGAATGAAAGACCTCTCGTTAATGACACATCTCATCTCATTTCGAGGCATGCCCGTATCTTGTTTCGTGGAAGTTCTGCATAGAAATGAAACATTAAATTCCGTGATACCCGGACTATTCAGAAAGTTTAATTAACAGCCGGTAGACTTTCCTCGAATTTCTATTTTGGAATCATGCACGAACTTTATTTAAATATATGATCCATGCAAATAAAGCCATTAATTTTGCAACCTGTAATGTGTAGTTTTAATGACCTTTTTATAGCAGTTTTTACAAAAGTAAATAAAATGATGTAATATCGCATAAGTAATACAAGTTACATAACGCAGCCGTGTGTAATACAGAATAAGTAATTCTTTTTCTTTGTTATAGGTGAGACTGGACAGAAGGAATGGTGTACATTAGCATATTGGGAACTAGGTGGTCGAGTGGGTCGGCTTTACCCTGTGGAGCCTTCAACGGTAAATGTATTTGATTCCCTCCATGATGGTGATGGCCTTTGCTTAGCGAAGTTAGCTGAAAATCATGTTGCACCACCTGCAGTCCAAAGAACAAGAAGCAAAATTGGTCTTGGTAGGCATCTCTTTTATCTTTCACTTCGAATTTACTTTACCACCGTATTTAAAATTGAAAATAGGGGAAACTAAGGAAGCGCGTTATGTTGTGTTTACAGGTGTGATGCTTAGTCAAGAAGCAGATGGTGTGTGGGCATACAACAGATCTGAGAGCCCGATCTTCGTGAACTCGCCTACCCTGGATGATCCAGAGTCTAGAACACTACTCGTCTATCGTGTGCCTCCAGGTTTTTGTCTTAACATCTTCGACCGAACCAAAATACTACAGCTTCCATATGGCAGTGGTACCATAAGAACAACCAATCAGGCTGCAGGCTTCGCCTCTGGTCCTGTTGATATCAACTCCGTCCGTATCAGCTTCGCCAAAGGCTGGGGACCCAAGTACTCAAGACAGGAAGTCACATCTTGTCCATGTTGGCTCGAAGTTCTCCTAGCACCGTGCAGGTGATCCCTACGTCTCATCGTGAAGGTATTCAGTCTCGTCCGTTTGCGCCTCTTCTTCCTCCTCGTCGTCCTCCAAGAGGACTAAATCTGTGAAACTGACGCAGCAACGACGATGCTCCGTCCCAAAGGCTGCCAACGGATAGTCGAACGACGTGGATCGCCGCCAGCAGTCTTACCAAAGTACGCCGCCATACATCCAAGAACAGCGTCGTTTTGTTAACAGAAAAAATAATGAGAATCACTCGGCAAAGAGTGTTTTTATATCCTTGTGCCTACGAACGGCGGACGCACAGTTTTACGTGGTACTCGATTATTCATCGCATCGAAATTTCATTCGTCTCGTTCACCCGTCGCTACAAATATATTTCCACTTGATTGGTCAATGATACTGTTGTTCTTTCATGATAATGTTAAATGAGATTTCACAAAAAAGTGAAGCGGAATCGACATCCGCCAGGTCTAGTCAGTGGTATTTAACATTTGTAAGCTTGACGTTTATATGTCTTGCATTAAGAATAAAATAAGATAATCAACGCTATCTGAAATCATGGAAAGTGCTGGAGTATGATTGACGTAGTCAACGCGCGATCATTTTCTTGTACAGTACTGATCGTAAGTTTAACGTCCGTACTGCCTGGCCATGTTCTCGTTTATGATCAATCATTGCACTGCGAGGAAGCAGGAGTTTGGGCTTCCGAAGAAGTCTAGTCAATGGTGTTTGAGAGCATAACAGTTCGTTGGTCCGGATGGATTTCTAATCCATTCACATTGTCAGGAAACGAGAACATTGCCGACAAAATCGAAGGAAGTATAGTGCGTTACTGACATGATCTCAACCAGCCTGTGGCTTAAAAGTGAAGAGTGGCAAGAGGAGACATCTGCTCGTGGCGCTCGTCCCGATAGTAATGGTGGAATTAGTTTCGGCACGTCTTTGTTACTGGTCGAGCTGCGAGTTGAGGTGGAGCGTGCGGCCGAGTCCTCTTGCCCCTCTTTACTTTTGAGCCACTGGCTGACTGGGATCATGTCGGTAACAAACTATACTTAGCCCTTTTATTATTATCTTTAAAAAAAAAGACTTCTGCTTTTAAACATTAACAACAATTTTTAGTATGACTTTATTTCCTTCGTTCGCGTTGACTTTATTCAGAAAAACGATTTGTTGCCGCATAATGTTAAAGGCAATTGTAATTAGGTTCAGCGAAACTTTCGTCGACTAATCGAAGAATCTAATATTAACGGATGTTCGTGACCGGTTACCGACGAAATCTGAAAGACTAACTGTGCTAACGAAACTTTTCGACCATTCAACCCTCGTGTTTCTAATGAGTCAACGTGCTCAGCGTTCAATTTGTATAAATTCGTGCGTAGTTACGTTTCATCGGCGTGAGAAGAAAAATTGTCGACGTACCACGAGTACTGCGATTGTCCCCCGATCGTCGTTCGGTGCTGTACGTACAATAATATGTACATACACTGTGCCTTCCCAGCTTCCTTCGTGGTGCAATGTGTGCGAAAGAAAGAGCGAGTGGGTGTATGCGTGTGTCCAAAGGAAACGGGAGTGAATGAAAGAGAACTTCGCGTGCCAGCTAACGTTTTCGCACCAAATGCCCGAGAGCTTCGTACTACAGTAATACGATACTGTGATAAAAGTTCAACCCAGGTCTCTTCTTCTTCTTTTTTTTTCTTCACCTTCCTTTTCTCGGACTGAAATTATCCTTTATAGCACATGGGTCAAATAGAAAAGTAGGAAAGTACATAATAACTAAGCTTATAAATCGTTACATGGCTAATATATTCTCTACTATGTCTGAGATAACAAGAATCTATAGGTAATGTAAATCAGATAGATAGAATAGATAGAGTTGCAATAAGTGGGCATAAATCCCCGCATGAACATTTGTGTTAATTTGAACTGGATCACAACTGTATATTCAGAAGGTGATGGGGCATGGGAACTAACCGGAGTGTTGTCTCAGGCTTTACAGACACCCTCTTCAGATCTGACAAAAAAGGGTTGCCTAGTGCCTCCGCCGGAAAAATTTGCTCCATGCCTTCTGTCGGATGGTTGAGTAGATTGTTGAACATAATTGACTGAAGGTCGAACTTTATATAAATTTTGTTATCAGGGATATAGGGCAGTACTGAAACCTTCCAGTCAGCTAGTACTTGGATAGCCCATAACCCGAGATCAGTCGCTACATCTTGAGGGATTTGTTTCAAGAGATTCGGTATGTTTCCTGGGAAGTCAGGTATAGGGACTAAGGGCATTTGAATCTGTAGTGAATGCACCTACTACGTGACGTGTCGGAATACTTTTGATAGTTCTGACATGTTGCTAATTAGTTTGGAGCACATGTCTTCTGTGCTTAACCTGATAGTCTCCCTAGGTAGCATACGAGCTGCCAGTGGCAATCCAGCTCGTGCCACAACCAGGTGTTTCCGCTCTTGTGCAATGAGCCTCCTGTTCCGTTTCCGTCCTGGGCTATATCTGTTGCATCCGTATGGGATGTACAACTAGCATTGTACATAAAAACTTGGCTACCCAGGACCTATACCTCCTTACCTTCCTTTTTCATTGTTCTTGCGAATAGATCGGATACTTCTAGTTCTCCAGAGAAAACCTCTTATGAAACCTTGAAGAGTGTGATGGCCAACACTTTAAGTGCCACATCAAAAAGTGTGCACACTGACGAGCCTTGTCTTTTGTAACCACCAAAGGCAGCATCCTTGATCAATTCACACTTTATCCACGAGCATAGGAACGCTAGATCAGGGTAACTACGGAGTTGGATGCTAGATTTGTTTATCGAGTTAAATGGGTTGTGTACTGTCTGTAAAGCTAGATTAAAAACTGCCACAAAGTTGTCTCGAGGGATTCCCCTTTTTAACAAGCAGATCTGTATCGATGTAATATAACTCTGCCACAACATCAGCCGCAGTAGTCACACTGGTCATATTATTATTTGCGGCCTATTCGATCACCCAAATTAACGATGTAACTTGAGCCACGTTAAGATGGCTCCAACAGATAACCAATGGTTTGCAGACCTGCTCCCAGATTAGATCTCTCTTTGGATACATTCTTAAAAAATGCGCGCAGCTTCTATTGTTGATGTAATCCTCGAGGTTTACATTAGGAATGATTGTTTGAACTTGTGTCCTGCGGTGATTGACCCAAGCTGGTGTTATATTGGCTTCTTTCGTAAGAGTGGTGAAATATACGAACATCAACCCTGCTATAAGGTCCACAGCAGGGAGGTAATTGTACTGCACGCCTCTCATAGAATCCGAGGTAAGTATTCTGGTTAGATGCAGCCGAAATTTGCAAATAGTCATCTTTTACTTAGAATTCAATATTCGTCAGTTCTACGAACGATGTGTGCGGTTTACTGAAAGCCGACCATGCCTGTTGAACCTGTTCTCCCACAAAGATATTGGCAGGGATAGTATGACCTCGGTAGACATAGAAATTCAAGATCTGCATTGGGACACCCTCAATAGTAGGGTTGTAGACATTAGCTATGACCTCATCCTAAGCAGCCTTAGCCGATGATGAGCGCTTACAAATGTTGAGTACCTCTACAACATACAATTGATTATCATTTAATGCAGGGGGCGTAATTAAAGCCTTTCAAGACTCTATTTCTTTCATGGTTCTCTTTTTTTATAAAGGATTTATCTCGTACAACGTAGGCAGCGGTTAATTCTCCATATGTTTTCGCCAGTATTTTGTCACGGTCAGTTATGCGTTCCTTTACCGTCTCTTTTCTGGCTATGTCCTTTGCAACCAAAAGCCTCGCCATCCAATATGAATAAAGGAGAGGTACTCTTTGTGAGAAATCGCTGAGACATACTGCGATAAGTAACAAATTAGTAACATTTTGATTTGCGAAATGCGACGGAAGAGTGCCATAGCCATTACAGTTGGGGTGCAACCCAAAAATAACCACATCAATTAATAAACCAACAAACTCAAAAGCACGGAAGGCTCTTTAAAAACAGCAAGCTATTCTTTGTAGACTGTATCAATTTCAATTATGCACCGACGAAGAAATCTATCAACCAGTTAAATATGTAAGGATCTACGCAAAAAAAACGGAAACGAACTTATGCTTGAACAAAAAAGAACAGACATACATTCATACACACATACACGTACACGAAGCATGTATAAAACACAATCGACTGATCGAGTAGTTTTCTTCTTCAAGCCGGTTAGTTACTTTTCGTACCACCGCTTTTATTCGGTATCAAATATTCAGATTACGTGTGATACGCCGAATGATATATTGTGATACATATATTCTCGCTTAAATGATATATATTGATTATGTATACGTACGTATACAGAAAACATGTTCGTAGGTTGCTAATAACTACGTCTACTTGGAACGGTGTTGATTCTGAAGCCTGTATGCGAACCACGTGATACAGAAAAAAATTGTCAACACTGCAAGCGATTCATCTTGGAGGAAAAAGGGGGAAGAAAAGAAAAATGAAAATCCTGTAGAAAACGATTTCGATTTTGCGTATAGGTTTAAGAATCGATCAACAAGAACGAATCCTTTCGGATATAGTCGTCCATTCAGTAGACAGCTGCGTTGCTTTTTATAGTCTTCTCGTGGCTCTAACCTGCTGTTATAGTCAAGGTTGTCTCACCGCTGAAATTGAACGAAACGCCTGTGCGCACGGTCAGTCCGACGAAGCGGTTCTCTTCAGAAAAAAGAAACGAAAAACAATTTTATTCGGAGCTTTGAAAAAGAAACACACACACATACAAAAACACACACACAGACACACGTAAAAATTCGATTAAAAATAAGTTTACTTATTTTGTAAATTGTGCAATCCCTATTCGCAGTCGAAGGCAAAAACAGCCGAGGCGGTTTCCTGACTTGAATCTCAGGGCGCGGAGGGTACGCGGACGCAAACAAATGGCTACCATCGTTTCCCAGCTGTACTTAACGATGTTCTATAATTTAATCGTTTCATTGAGCGACGATTGTTAAAAGGTACACTCAGACGGACGACAAATATTCGTATTCTTTTTTTTTCACAGAATAAAACCATTGGTGCATATGTAAGAAACAGGAGAAAAGAAATTGAACGAAGCAGCATCCTTAGATACCTGTACCTAGAACGAACACAATCAAATTGACTTTTCGTTAAGGAGATCTCATACGACGTTATTACTATCAATATATTCTAATATATTGCTGAGATTATTTACCGTAAAATACTCTTTGAAAGAAGCTTGAACAACTCGGTATTTTCGTTACTGTGTTTACACAGTAATATGTTAATAGAAGATCCTTCCTTTGAAGTGACGACGGTCGTCGAGACTATACACCTAACTTTTCATGAATCCTAGAGAAATACCAAAAGAAATTGTTTATCGATGTTATTCGTTCGTCTAGAAAGTACTATCTGAGTTTGTTTTGGCTGTATTGGAAAGGGAGAGGTGGTCTGTAACGTTAAACACAAGATTATCCTGGGACACACCGCCATTTATTCACGCGTAGTACTTCACGAAAGGAAGACGAATTCGAAAATGGTACCGTAAGTGAGAACTTTTCTTTTGAACAAGCTACCTCGTTACTTTTCGTTACGTTACATTTTTTACTTTGTGTTCCATATTTAAAAAGATCGTTCTTTCGTGGATCTTTCAGCCGAATAAACTCGTCGATTGATTGACCACGCGAAATGGAACCGTGCGATAGCAGACGGGATATTTTGTTCTCGGATAAAGTGTTTAGTGCATCGAAAGTTGTGTTTGGTATTCTACCATCAGGTCGTATCGAACGAGCTGCATTAATTTACTTAGTAAGTACCCTTATGAGATTTTTCATTGCACAACAGTGAAACGTCGCGAAACTTGCCTCACCGAATATCAGATCTTTCGATTGTATACGTATGCGAAGCAGTTCGAGATCATCTTTCTTCTGTCTTGAATTTATTAAGCACGCTCAAAATGGTTAAAATTAAATTATTTGAAACGTTCACGAAAATTTATACAATATATTTTGTTTTGTTTAAATATAGCCCTCTGTTGCATTCGTCACCTTCAAATATGCATACTACTGAAGTTTGTAGAATTTTATAGTTTTCCTTATTTCTTAATTAAAAATTTTAACTCTGAAGTAGCGATTGATGAACATTTCTTTATTTCGAGTTAATTAACGTGTAAATTGTTTAATTGGAGCGCTTGTGCGTTAGCAATAAAAATGTAATAATACATAAACGAAACATAACGTTTAAGTGGTTGAAAATAATCTGGACAGTTGATTAATACTACGGGAAATGAGAATGATTACGGATTTTCTTAATCAGAGTATGTATATGCAAATTGTTTAAAAGCTGTCAACACTGAAATAAAACAAGATAGGAATGTTGTAGATTGGTAGTCAACATATAGCAATATATGGTTTTAAAAAATGTAACGAAATTTTCTCAACGTTTGAAAGTTTTACTAGAAAGGAAATACTTTGCCAATATAAAAGAAATAATCTTAAATACTGATGTTATCCTATTTGAAATATTAAAAAAAATCAATTACTCCTATGATCTCACTTTGTGTGGAAGTCATACTTTCTTGGACTGAATAAATCGGTTATTTGAGCTCCTTCAGCATAAGTAGTAAAGTGCCTAAAACTGTTGCATAACTAAAAATGTTTCTCCCATAAGAATAATAT